AATGATGTGATTGTGATGCTGTAATTCTGAGTGTTTTATGGGCTGCAGAACAGGAACCTGCTGTAAAACAGCAATTATGCTGAGTCAGGCTTGATTTTTAATAATCTTTTCCTGTTAAATAAATCAAATCAAATCACTTTCCGTTCCTCATTTTCTTCTTATTATTCTCACACCTGCTGTGTACAGCCATGTGTCTGTGTTTATTAAGTAGTCCGCGATGACTTGGCTTAATATGCTTTTATCCAAATTTGCTACGTGACGAGTAAATCTGTCAGTGCATCCATTAATAAAATATGGATTCACTTTATAGTCATTTTGCACAATTTCCATGTTCTGCTATTAATAATTTGATGCTAATGTGCTGAAAGATTAACTGTTTATTAAGAACAACTTGACAAGTTGCTAAACATTCCTCATTTTAATGCAGTGGTAACTGCATGCTTTTCAGTGTAAAGACTGGAATATTATAACTTTTTTTGTAATATTATGACGTGTCAATCGGCTCCGAAAGCCTAATCGCGTCTGATCGGAGAACTGAAAAAGGTTTAATACAAAATCCGGTCATATAGACCGAAGTCCTGTCGAGGCTTGAAACTCCAGGACTCGACTATAACCCAATCTTGCTGAATTAAGTGTGGTGTGAAGAGCAGTAAGCTGATAACGGGGCGGTTGTGGTGTAGTGGTAGAGCAGCCGGCTTTGGGGCCCGCAAGTCACAGGTTCGACTCCCTGCCACGCCCACATGCCATTGTGTCCTTGGGCAAGACACTTCACCCGCCTTGCCTACTGATGGTGGTCTGTAGTGTACAGCGCTTTGAGTGTCCTGTATGGATAGAAAAGCGCTCTATAAGTACAGTCCATTTACCATAAGTTGTGGAACTGGTTAGACAGCAGTAGAATAGCTTAAGGAGAAGAAACCATTTTTGCCCAAGGCTGCTGCTCTATTATCGGGTGGTTCCTCGACTCTCTTCTGCTCCAAACCAACTCCCCATGGAGGTATGGATGGATTGATCCACATTTTAATTCATTTTTAAATTTAATATTTTTCATGTAATACCAATTGTGCTTAGGGAAAGGGTAGAGTGTATTTTGATCAGTTTTTATGTTTTTAAAATGTAACCCTGTGTGATTAACAATAATTTCACCTGCTAAAGCTACTAATAAATGTAAAGCATTTATAAAATCCTCATAAATTGAGTGGACATTCGACTTATTACAATTTTATTGTAATTTTTATTCTTCATTCCATGAGTGTCAAATGRRAAATGTTCTGAGTTCATATAATCAATTAATGGTTGATCTAATTGGTTACCTTAGCAGAATAAGAGTTTATTTAAACAACATCCAAGTCATTTATTTCCAAGTTACCAAATTATTTCTCAGCCAGTAACAAGTGCACGCTTTCAAATGAGGAGGTTGCAGTTAATGAGGGGTCTCGAGGTTGTATTTCCACAGCTAGGCTCCTCGAGTTAGATTTGTAACCTTGATGAAACAGGGTTGTGCCCCTCAAATGTATGTAACCAGTGYTGAGCTAATTCTCCGTCTSTCACTCAAACAGGTTGATCCATCATCTGTTCAGGCAACCCTGGCAGAGTTTATGTGAAAACCCTAACCCCAGAGAGGGAGGAGTGAGWAAAAWAAGGGAWATCTTTAGACTTATGAATAATAGGTAAACTGAAAGTTGTAGTAACACCCCAGAAAGCAAGAGACGTTAATCATGTAATATTACAACTTTATTCTCATAATATTATGAGTTTAATCTCTTAATATTATGACTTTAATCTCGTAATGACTTTAATCTCATATTATGACTTATTCTCATATGACTAATCTCGTAATATTACAACTATTCTCATATTATGACTCATAATATTATGACTTTCATCTCATATTACGACTTTATTCTCATATTATTACTTTTATCTCGTAATATTACGACTTCATTCTCATAATATTACAACTTTATTCTCATAATATTATGATTTTATATTTATACGACTTTAATATCATAATATTATGAG